ATTGGGTTACACTGAATCTCTCTGAGGAGAGCATTGTGTAAGAGTTTTATCTCCTTGTATCCAGTTTATACTGTTTGGAATATATGGGTTTTTATTCAAAAAAAACAAACTTAGTTATCTACTTTTCTTTCTTATCTCTATCTTGCATTCAATTAAACCAAGTGGAATTTCCTTATGTCTCTTCATGATATATTTCTTTTTTCTTAATAATGGATAAAAAACCTTGCAAGAGTATGACTATTAATATAGGTGATTGTAGTTGAACAAAGAACAATGCAAAGATATACACACCATTACATGAAATCAAATTGAAGAATATAGGCCAAATCAACAAAAAAAATAACAAATTAATTAAATTCAATTAAGGACAACAGCCAATCTTTCTGAAAACAGATTCATATGCTATTACCATTCCATTTTTTTTTTTTTTAATTATGTATTCAAATAATTGCAAGATAAGAAGAAGAATTGGAGATAACCGTGTATGTAAGTGTATTTATTAAAGTGGGTCTCTAATTGTAATGATTTGTTATTAATTTAAATTTTGTTTTAATTTAATTATTTGCATTAATTGATTAATTATAAATATAATTCAATTGATGGATAACTAATAAGCTAGTTAGCCTTGCCAACCAAGCTCGGTGTTTAGCATAAGCTAAGCACCTGCTTAGGAGATCAAAACCGTGTGTGTATTTATTTATTTATTTATCCGCTAATATTTATTTCATTAAATTCTAATATAAAAAATTATATTCTTTTAGAATTTGTGTTTAACTAAAACTTTAATAAAATATAATCTTTAATTAAAGCCAAAACAACAATGGAAGAGACACTATTAGAGAAAATTTATATAGTATTTTTTTAAAATTTACATCATAGAAAATTTACATCGAAGATTGTATAGCAAATTAAAATTCGAAGATTGTATTAATTGAGAAGAGACCAGATTCCAGCAACAAAATGCAGAAAATTAACAGTTTTGATTTCAAAATGCAGAAGATGAAGATTTTCATGAGGATTTACAGTTTTGATTTCAAAATCGACGCAGCCACAAAATGCAGAAGAATTAACAGTTTGATTTCAATATTATCGACCGGCGAAACTGAGGATAGCATGGAACCTCCTGAGATACTACATTAATTTACTATGATATAAAACAATAATGTAAGAGACAAGCTAGAAAATTTACATCCACCATTTTGTTTATAAAAAGGGATGAATAGAGTATTTTTTAAAAAAAAAATTGAAATTGTAATAGTGATAGATTTAGGGTGCGACATGTATATTAAAATGATGTGGATATATTGAGTTTAAATGACTGAATTTAATAAGAACAATATTGGAATATGACGTGAATGAAAATAGTATTTTTTTTTTTTTTTTTTAAAGAAATTTTAATATGAATAGATATATAAAAATTGTGGATGTACTATCTTTATTTTTTATAGGTTTTATTATAAGTTTTATTTGACTAATAATGTAAATAATAATGAGTGTGATGTCAAGAATATTCTTAATTATTTTATATCTCACAATTTGTTTAGTCATTATTATATATCTTTTCATTTTGTATATTAATTCTTGGAGTTTGATGCAATTATTAAATTATTTAAAATATCAGGTAAATTAAAAAACAAAATATCAACAACTGTAATGCATTTGACCTCTTAAACCACTTAATTAACTTTATAAATTAAAAAAGTTGCTTAAAAGTATAACAAACAATCAAAGGTGGGTCATATGAATAATAAATTATAATTAATTGATAGATAGATAAACAAATTTTTCACATGGAGAGCATGTCATTAGTTTCTCCTTCACTATCATGTGTATCTCATTAGTAAACAAATAATGTTGTTTAATAAAAAATAATAAAGGCCAATTTTTTTCCCAAAAAAAAAAAAAAGGCCAATAATGCGATCATGTTACTTTAGCTTTATCCAATTCAAGTTTACATCTCTACTAAGATATCTCGAGTCATCTAATCTCTCATTTCAGAAAATTTAGTCATGTTACACATTTGATATGACATAATCTTTCGATTTCTAACATCCCAAATTCATCGTGTTGTGTCTCAAATAGAAAATTCTCTCTCTCTCTCTCTCTATTTTATTTTTTAGTAGGCTTATAATAGAGTAGAAAAATGCTTACTAGCATTTATGTTATTCGCCAAACAAAAGTTAAACCTACGTTAAGCATACTATTTTAGTTAAAACAGACTTTTATCTAGATTAGATAGTTTACTAAAAAATAGAATGTACAATATTGGACCGTACTAAAAAAGAAAAACAAGTAAATATTTTCTAAAGTCAATTCATTCGTGCCTCATTACTACGTACACATTTTCATTGACATCTAAAATAATATCCTTAATAAGGTAAATTAAGAGCTAATTCCCACCATAAAAAAATATGCAGCAACCAGTCACAGTGTTCTCAATTTCATGCATACACATCTGTGTTCTTGTTCCATCAAAAAGAGAAATGAATTAAATAAATAAATAAAATAGTAACCCAATAAAAGAAAAAAGAAAAAAAAAACAGTCAACATTCTTTTTGTGCACAAAAAGGAAAAGTTCCTAAATAGCATCATAAGAATAACAAGTGGGACAATTCCATCACTTAACTTCTTTCTCTTTTTTAAACACACAACATCTGTAGTATCGTGATTTGTGTTGTTCAAAATCTAAAACCCGTGATTTGAGTGAATAATTTTACCACGTTTACTTGTTGGATTGCTCAACTATATCTCGAACAACATGAGTCCATGAAGATTGCTAAAGTCAAAATGATAACAAATCAGTTTTTCCAATGGTTGAAATAAAGCACTACAACTCGCGATTTGAATGAACAATTTTACCACATACAACATGAGTCCATGTAGGTTGCTAAAGTCAAAATGATAACAAGTCGGATTTTCCAATGGTTGAAATAAGGCACTACAATCGAGATTAAGTTACATAAAAAGGACAGGTTCAATGAACAAATGTATAACATTGGTAAAAAAATTATTCATGCATCTCCACGTGATAAAAAAATTTGAACCCGCAATTATCATAAACGAACGAAGTTGACAATTGACAGTGATGCATGCAAAAAGCCAAAAAAATCCACAGAGATACCATTGGCAGATTTCCAAAAATGTGTTTAATAGTATTATGCTTTAGATAGGTCATTTTTGTAGGGGCATTTACTTGTATTTTCCATTGTCTTCCAACTATTGAAAAAACCTCACATTCACGTTCATCTGATACCAATTGAGCTTTCTTCATTATGCAAGAACGTGCTTGAAGCAAGTTGGGACCAAATGAAGTGGATTCCATTCTGCTAAGTCATAATTTAAGTGATGACAATACCCTACGTAATTGAGCGCCCCTATTCAAGTCGATGATGGGGATTCTATAGTCGAGTCGATACTGAAGCATCTCCATTGGTTGGTTGGTTGAGTGGGTTGTGTGAATGATATAGGCACATACTTGGAACAGGATAGTATAGTCGAAGGGCTTTGCTTGGGGTGGATTCCCATAATTTATTATAGTGTAAATTGTGCATGAACTATGAACTATAATTTTTGGACAGAGAGGTGGTGGCAGTACCTTTTGTATCTGTGAGTTTATCCATCCATCCACCAAAAATCACAAGCAAAGAATACAGAAAGATTCAATCTTACAAACAGGAAGAACGGCTTATCATGTCTAATAACATAAATACGATCCCAAAAAATTTTATTGGGTTTACAAATATGTACACAGGAGCTGGAAACTAACCACAAAACTAGAGAAGGCAAAAGAAAAATGGAGAGCTGAATTAGAGCAGCCGTTCAAATTTCTGCCCTCAAAGCTGTAAAATAGTAAAACACGATATCGTACAGAACTAGACACCGTTACATAATTTATCGATTTTCAGCAACTTTTGATGTCAATGCAACCCTAAGCTGTTCTTTTGTGTAAAATCGGCTTCCCATATTCACCGTGGCTTGCTGGATCATCAAATCGTTCACCACCGACACACTAGCATGGTGAACATCCAGGTCTAGTTCCTCAAAGGCCATCATCAGCCTTGCAGCTGGGTGGTTACTCTTACTAGATTGAACCCGTATCATCGCGTCCCAACCAATGATCTTAACTTCTACTTCAACATCAACAATCTTGTTACCGCCATGGCTTGACATTTTGGTATCTTGCTCGGGTGGAGGAGCTGAACCTCGAGGCTCTTTAGTTGCTAAATCCTTCTTCACCGACTCCAATTGGCTCTTCAATTCTTCCTTATCCGACTCTGTATTTTGAAGCTTTGATTTCAACTCACTAATATAAGATATAGCATCCCCTAGTAGTGAAGCCTTATCCATCTTGGACACGTTTGGTACAACAGCTCTAAGTGCATAAAACTTCTGGTTCAACTTCTCCCTCCTCTGCCTCTCGGCCTCAACGTGATTTAAAGGCTCCTCTCTCCCATTTGCAGGCTTCCTACCCCTTTTCCTAGGCCGTTTCTCAGGGTCGACTACTCTACTACTATCCGCCTCTTTAACCACAGATGTCTCAAGATCTGAATGATCCAATTCCCCACCACCACCATTACTCGTCTTCCCAGCACCCAAAGGGGACAAAATCACACCTGAAGTAAATGTGCCCTCCTCGTTACTCCCCCTTGAGGTTGGGGACGTCTTCTTATTCTTGTTCTTGTTGCTAACATTGTTATTGTTATTATTATTATTATTCTCCCCTTGAATACCAAACAAACTTCCACTACCACTACATGCACTCCTTTTTGTACTCTCCCTGAAATTTAAAAGCTCACCCGATTCCGGCTTACAAGTCACCTTCCTAACACTATCCCCATCGAACCCATATTCGGAAAAATTCAACTCCCTTGGAAAAACCCCCGGTGCCTGCTGCTGCTGGCGCGGATTCTCTGTTAAAGTACTAGTACTAGGATTTTCATTCCCAAACAAAATTTGCTTACTAGCACTAACCGAAGGGATTGAACTCCCCACACCATTGTTATTAATATTAGTATTGTTATTATTCAAAGAATCCCTCATTTCAACACCGGAGGACGTGGGGTCGGTTAACCATAAGGCTGAAGGGTCATTCTCCGCCAAGGCCGCCCAAGAGCCCGAGCGGGATGCCGATCCACGGCCCGGGGCCGGAGCCACCGAACCCATTTCCATGCCATTGAAATTGAACAGAACTCTAACCTTGTTCATGAGATCCGAACTCTGGACAATTACCTCGGTCGAACCAAGCTCCACGACGCCGTTTGAAGAAGGTATGCAAACCATGGTCTCGATCCCAAAGATCTGAGCCTGGCGGGCCCGCTCGCAGGGAGAAGCATTCAACCTATCCGCACCAGCTATCCAGATTGGGCTCGAGCTGTACGAGGCCTGACCGGGAAGCCCGGACCCGTTAACAAAGGACTGAGCCATAGAGATTAGAAAGAACCACTCAGTATCAGTCACTTCTTCATCAACAGCATCATCGACCGAGGATTGCGGGCCCGAAATCAAAGAATTCAACTCTCTCAGCACTTTCTTTCTGTTTTCTTGCTCCGCCGGTGACGCCGCCGTCTTCCGCTTCACTTTATTCTCTTCGCCTTTATAGTACCCATCGCCCCAGCCCAGCAGCGACGGCCCACCGTATTCAGCCACCGACGATTGCCAGAAAATCGCGTAAGTCCAGCTCTCCTGAGCACCCTCCATCAACGCCAACAAACGCTGCTGCAGCGTTTCTTGATTGAAAAACTGTGCCGTGGAATCCGTCGCCAACACGTACGACGAGGACTTGGGTGGGTCAGCAGGATTTGGAGCATACGGAGCGGGCCAAAAAGAACCCAGATCGGAAGAGGATGACATAAAGGCCTCCATCATCGACGCGTTATCGTCTGTAGTCGTAATTGTTGTCGCTGCTGTTTTTGTTATACTGCTATCTGTCCATAGATTCATCGTATTTCGCTACCTGGGTGTCGGCAGTCCGCAACAAATCATTACATAAACTGAACCAAAAAATTGAATCAAGAAATTGGCGTACAAACACGACAAACCTAACAACAAACTTAGTACTAGTTACCAAATCTTTAATATCCCCAGAAATTTTAGGTTAACGGGAAGAGAGAAAATGGTAAATATGGAAATTTAGAGAGAAAAATTAAGGTGGTAGGGGGCGGCTAGTGGTGGTGAGAAAAGGGAGAGGATTTGTTTCAGGGGATGAATTTGAGCTAAGGTGTGGGATTTATTTGAGATGAATTTCAGCTGAATTTAGTTGGGAATAAAACAAAGAGACAAAAATGGTGGGTTCTACTAAGGGCCCGCCGATTTAATCGAGCCGTCTACTCTAAGCCGGCGCTATATTCTACTCTTAAGACTCACTCCGCTTACTCTAAACTCTGCTATTATGTGTCTTTTATATGTGACAATTGATTATGAAAATTATAAATTTATTTCAATTACCTCAATAAGTGGTAAAATATGAGTAATGCGACATCAATTCAATTTTAAATATTTTTGTTCTACGATAATTAAAAATTTCATAAATTTAATTTACAACAATTTTTTTTGTCTAAAAATAAAAAATATATGTTATCAATGAAAAACACTAGGTAAAAAAATAAAAATTTTATATTAACGATAGAATTTTTCGTCGATAATAATTTTTAAAAATATATATATATATCTTAATAAATTTAACGTCTTAACAAACTTTTGTTAATTATGCGAAAAAAAATTGGAATTTACGCAATATTATAAATTATAACCCAAATAGGAAAAACAAAATTACTTGGTCATGTGTGTTGCACGTGATCTCCTCTATATTTTTTCTCATATCAGTTTTCACTTTTTCTAATTATTATATCGAGGTGGATCAATTAATGTTTATATTAAGTAAGAAATAAAATTTGGCATATATGTTAAATTTTTAAATTTTCTTCTTTTTTTCTCTCTTTAAAGGGTCAATGAGTAAAGGGCAAAAAGTGTAAATGGAGGGAATAAAATAATAAATTAATTATTCGAGTTTAAACCAAGTGATTTAGGAAATTCTCAAAGAGGATCAACTTCCATTCCCTACGATTGTTAAAATTGGATAAATCATCATTAGGAAGATTCTTCTGTTTGGAGTTTTGATATTATTTCTTATTGTTTCATTGAACAATTAATGTCTCACAAATGTGTAATACTCACAAATTTAAATCTCATTATGCCCCTAGCAATTACTATTCAACGTTTCATTCAAAGTACGTATAAAGATTTGGAGATATTTCACATAACATAATCGACTAGAAAGTCCTTTAAAATATGCTTCTTTCTATTTTTTTGGTTTAACGGTTAAGCTAAAATGTAGAAGTATTATTTTAAGTAACTTTTAATCTCAACCATAATTTTCTTTTTTTACTTTTAAGTGAAATAATTACTTCTTTCAAAAATAACTTTGCTTTACTATCAAAAATAAGTGATTTGCTTAAGTTTTTAAACTTACTTTTTTTTTAGTTACAAAGAAAATATTTAAACTTAGCCTTTTTAGGTTGCTTTTGCAATATAAGCCTCAAGGTCTAGTTTTGTCTACTTTTGTCAATTTGTTATTGGTCATACAAACTATTAATTGGATTTTACCTCTTCATTATGTTTTGAAAAGATAACTTAAAAATAGCATATATTTCACTTTATGAGTAATGAAAAAATATTCTTAAATAGCATATACTATTTCAAATGTTGAAAGGAGAAGATCGAGCTTAATTCAAGTTAAAAACCAATGGAATGTGCCATAAAGAAAATTTCATAGGTCAATTTTTCGAACATTTACAAAGCTCACACGGTCTACCGTCAAAATTGAATGCAACACGATGCCTAAATACATACATTTGTTCATATAAATTATAAATATCAAACTCTGCACAAAATATCGTTTATCCACTGTTTACATGTCATATAGTCATCTTTGTCATCCATTATGAATAGGATAAGTAGTATAAAAATTTGACGAAATAACAAATTTTGAATGTTTTGATTTTCTATCGACTCCTTTTGCCATTTTCTACTTATATTTTTTACTTTTATTTGTATATTTGTCAACTTATTTCATTTTTTTTATTGCAATAAAAAGTATGTCCAAAAAATTCCTACTATTAATCCTTCAGAATTTTCTGAAATACTTATTTATATATTTTCTTAAATAGTTACGTGGCAGAATCAAGCCGTGGCAAAAGTTAATCTGTCAACAGTTTTGGAGTTTCTAGAAATAGCCGCCAGCAGCAAAACTCCAATTACTCGGCGATTGTATTTTCAAATAATCTGCACGAACTCATTCAGCCCCTATTTGTTACGGATTAAAATCTCAAATCAATCAAGGTCAAGAATTAATTTTAATCACACATTTTATGAGGTTCATAACTTTTTAATCATATATTTCATCAATTTTTATCAAAATTTATTAAAAATTTAATTTTAATCTACAACGAACAGGCACTTAGTGCCTTAATCCACCGTAGTATTTTAACATTATCCGTTATTACACCTATTTTAATAACAAGTTAAGGTTCAAATTGTAATAAAATTATATAAACAATTTACAGATATTATACAAAGTAAATTTTACCATAATAAATATTTAAAATTAATTACTTTAAAAAATAAATTGTATAATTTATTTTAATTTAAAAATAATCAATAAATAACACCAATCATTTGTCCACTACAACATACAAATACATAAAAGTTCACGGTTGGTTCAACTTTAAAAATGAATTAAAATTTAAATCCAAGTCAACAATTAATTATAACCACACATTTTATAAGATACATAATTTTTCAATCACAATTTTCATCAATTTTTATCAAAATTCACTAAAAATCATATTTTTATTTAAACCAGCAAAGTAGATTTGGATTTGATAGATTAATGAATTCGCATGAGAAAAATGAATTGTGTACCATCCTTTTTTCTATAGGTAAAGGAATTGAACAGATAGTTAGACTATGAATTTGTTTGACATGACTTTTGAGAAGTCAAAAAGAACTTTGAACGTATTTGATTATTTTATAAAAAATGTTTTAGAGAAAGTTGTCACAATATGATTTTCCTTTAAAAGCTCTAACGAAAGATGAAACTTTTTTAAAAATTAGGTTTCAAAAATTAATTGGGGTATTTTTCTTAGGCATTTATTCTATAAGAAGTAGAAACAAAAGCAAATAACCTACCAGATGGACCATATATTCACAAAGATTGATGAATAGTCACTATAAGTCAATAGGCTGATTTCCATCTTAACTCTATTGCATTTGGGTCGATCACACTTGAAGCAAGGCTTTCGGTTGAGCAAAGCTATGTAGCATCCGTTACAATCTACCATTATCTAGACTGATGTTTGATGTCATACAACATTAAGGGTGCGTTTGATTGAAAGGGTGAAAAATATGTGGAAAGAAAATATTTTACAAGGAAAAGATTTGCTTAGAAAATGTTTTGTAGGGCAAATAATTTCAAATGTGTTTGATTGGTATAATTTT